TTCTCAGCAACCGCATTTTGCGTCTGAGTGAGCTGGGTATAACGCAAGGTATTCATCATATTGGCAGAAACAGAAAAGACAATGGGTAAAACTAACCGTTCGCTGTCGTCAGACCAGATGGTCATAGTGGCCTTCTCAAGAGCCTGGCCCATGCTGATGAGCGAGGTAGGGGGGGTGTGCTTAGGGGGAAGACCAGCCTCCCACTTGACACCAGCGCCCTCCTCCCAGACCTGGAAGACACGGGCGTAGGTGCGCCAGAGGGTGGAGATGGCTGTCTTTCGGCATCCCTCGTATGTGTGCTCAGTAAAGGGAGAGACCTTCTCGATAGTCTGCTCGACGTAGGTCTCAAGGTTGGAGCTGTTGCAAGAGTTGGAGATGACATCACCGAGGACGTCAAGAGCAATCTCCTGCTCAAGAGCGACAGCAGTCACAGCACCGAGATCTTCGAGGTCCTCGATATCATCCCAGTCCTCATCACCGCCAGTGGCGATGGTGATATCGTCCTGAGTCTCGGGGGTCTTGACCTTGACACGCTTGCCACCAATGACAATGGCACCGTCACCAAGCTGGCTAGCGTCAACACCGGGAAGCTCAATCTCCTCCTCCTCGAGCTCGAGAGAAGAGAAAAGACCCTTGAAGACACCGGGAAGGAAGTGGTCGAACTGCTCGTGGTAGACCTTGGACAAGTTGGACCACAGGATGAAACTGGTCTCCTTTAGGCGGGGGTTGTCAAGACCGAGAGCCTCCTCACTAGCGGACATGAGATCCATGACATAGGGCTGGAAAGACTCAGAGCCGACGGCCATGGCGATGCGCCCCAAGCTGTCACAGGTGGAGCTTCGGAGGTCAAGAGACTCCTCACCCTCCTTGATAGAGACGAACTTGCCAAGAGAAGACATAACATCCTTGAAGTAAGGCTCGAAACCCTTCTCCATGGAAGAAGCGATAGCACCGATAGCAGAAGCAGCAGCAGCCTTGACACCAAAGTCCTCGTGGTCGAGGAGACGGACCATGGGGCCAATCAGGTTAGGACCATACTGGGCCATGATCTTGGTGTCAATGCCGTCACCAAAGGTATCGAGGGCACCGCAAGCGCAGCGAATGATGCTAACGTTCTTCTTGTCGGAGACACCCTGAGAGGCGGCCTCGAGGTTCTTGAGCACGGAAGCGATGATCTGCTCGTGGTGAGAAGACATCTCGTCGGCCATCTCCTCAGCGAGGTGGATCAGACCAACAAGAGAGGCATGTCGGACCTGAGTCTCAGAGTCCTCGAGAAGAGAGATGATGGTAGGAAGAAGAGGCTGGAGTTGGGTAGAGATGAAGTCGGGAGCACCCTCAGCAGCGTTACCGAGAGCGAGCATAGCTGCCATACGGAACTTGGGATCGTTGTTGGTAGCGAAGTGGGGAAATTGCTCGAGGAGAGGAACAATAGCCTGACGGGGAGGAAGCTCGTTGGACAAGGTGTCGATGAGGCTGATGGCGGTACGGGCAGGAGAAATGTCCTCCTCGTCGTCATCGGCGTCGAGCTCGGTAACAATGTGCATGGCCTTGACCATGAGCTCAGCGGCCATGTCCTTCATGCCCTGAATCTTCATGCGTCGGTAGCGGACACATTGGATGAGGAAAGCAAGAGCCTGAGATCGGGCATCCTCCTCAGCGTTGACGTTGCCACCAAGCTCAATCATGAAGGTAAGGAGGTCACGGAGGTGAAGGGCAAGGAGGGAAGAGTCGTAAGCAATGAAAGAGTGGAAGACCTCGAAAACGATCTTGTAGCTCTCCTCATCCTCACCCTCGACGGCAGCCTTGAGAATGTTGACAAGGCTAGGAACAAAGTTCTGTATGGCCTTGAGAGACTCGGGGTCCTCCTCAGGCTCGACGATCATGAGGATTGCACCAATAGCACGGACAATGTTGATGCGGACCTCCTTGCTCTGAGGGTCCTCAATACGGGCCTGGAAGAGCTTGAGAAGCTCATGTGTGTGGTCGGCGAAGTGGGTAGGGTCCTCCTCGAGGATAGCATAGAGGAGGAATGAACCAACCTCACGGGCAACAACATTATCGTTGTTGGTGAGAGGAAGGAGGTGCTTGAGGAACTCCTCACCCTCACCGTTCTCCATATCAGCGCTGACAATGCCGGCGATAAGACGGGCGAGGGAGTGGCGGACACCAGCGGAGGACTCCTTGAGGACACCCTCGAGAAGGTGGTTTCGGGCGAGCTGTCGCTGGTCCTGGGCGGTCTTCTCCCAGAACTTGGGGATCAGACGAAGAGCCTGGACCGAGGCGAGCTGTCGAACACCGGCGTCTCCATGTGTGAGGGAGATCTCGACGAGGGCGAGCAGCGACTCGGGTTGTGTGTAAAAGTTCTTCTGGAGCTCGGCGGTAACGGCCTTGACCTGCTCTGTGTTGGCTGGAAAGAAAATGTTAGTTTCGATGCTTTCATGCCAGGCAACAAGTAGCAGCAAAGGAAAGCAGAGCTTGCCAGCTGTTTATCGTTGACGTAGATGATAGAACTTACGAACTTGGCTCCCTTCAAGGAGCTGAGCAAGCTTCCCCTTATCCATGATGATTTCTTTGTCGAAGCTTGAACGACAGAGAAAAAAAGAGAAAGAGAAAGGAAGGGAAAAAGAAAAAAGAACCCGAAGGTTTATAGTAGTGAAGAGAAGGAAGGAAAAGAGTCGCGAGAGACCTGCGCCGAAAAATTTAAATTATTTGGGGTCCCCTCGAGTCGAGTCGAAATTAGCATGGAAGAGAAAAAAAATTCCCAGGCCCCGCTCTTGCAGGTGCACGCGCTGGTTGGCAACGGTGGTCCTACACTAGGTACGCTAGCCCAGCGCATGCAAGCCCAGGGTCTGGTGTTGCCCCTCGTTTCTTCCACTTTTAGCGCGGGGCTTTTTGTGGTGATGATTTCCCTGACGGGTTAAGAAGACGCCGAATGAAGTTGTATGTAGTTAATACCTTCATCTTGACCGCCTTTGGTGGGTTGGAGTGATGTGTTGTTGTCTTTTGTTTCGTCGGCCTTGTCTAGATTCGTCTCTGGTGGCATGGCATGGCTATTGCTGAAGCCTGATTACTCCAGGCATCGCTGAAGATGTCGGATAAATGCAACCTCGACAGCCACGACTAGTCCTCGAGTTTGCTGGCACCGGCCGAGATGCTGCACTAGCTCAAGTGCATGGCAACCATCAACCATGGCCAATGATTGTTGGCTGATAGGCCCATGATGACGTTGGTTGGCTGCTTGACACGCGTTAGGCTGTTTGATACGCTCCCAGGAGTCTGGGTTTCGGATGCTTATCACCAAGCGATCAGATACAGCTTCATCCAAGAATTGGTTGACGGTCTTTCAGGCATAACATATTACTGCCATAAAGCTGCTATCAACTGCCATCAAGCTATGTCCAGTACGCGTCAGAGAAGATGCCACTGCAACACTAACCCAGGCTATAGTTTGTACAGCTTCGTAGCTCATAGCTCGCTCCGATTCAACTTGATGCAGCTCAACTGTCAGACAAGTCGCTTCATTTGCCGTACCTGACGGCTACAACTGTTACCCAGTGAGACTTTGTACTCCCGTCCACAACGCATGATACGACGCGCTCAATCAACACTCTTCTTGCCAGGCACACAAATGCGATCATTAATCCTGAGAGCCTCACAATTGAGGTCTGGATTCTTCTTCTTCAAGTCACCAACGCTCACTCCATTCTTGTCCGCAATCTCCCAGCATGTATCGCCCTTGTGAATCGCATACGCTACCGTGCCCTCCGGGCAGTCCGCGATGGGAATACGCTCGTCCGAGGAAGAGCCCTTGTAGCCGAGGAACCAGAAGAGCAGGACAAGCGATAGGATGACGAGCATGAGAAAGTTGAGAAAAGGCTTCATCTCGGTGAACCACGTCATCTTGGGCCGTTGCTGCTGGCTTGTCATGAGGAAGGTTTCGGTCTCTTGACCTTCAGGACGAGCCTCGCCGACCTTTGTGAGTTGTCCGTACTCGTTGCCTGGCGCGCTCTCCCAGTAGCTGCCGTCAGCGTCGCGGAACGTGTAGACCTGAGTGTCAGCATCGTAGCCTACTCTCTGCATGCCCTCAGGGAGACGCTCCTCGTCGGTGTCGTAGCGAGAGAATCGAGACATTATGATTGATGATTTTAACTGAGGTGATACTTCAATGGGGTGAAAAGAAGAAGAGGGAGAAAGATGGAAGAGCTCAGGCTGCCTCCTTTGAAACATGGATATCACGTTCCCTCGCTTGTTCAGGGGACCGCGTCATGCCTTAGGTAAGCATCTTACAGGCATAAGCTAACCACCATCACCCAGGTCGCCGAAAGCGGACAACAGACAACAGGCTACACGAATTACGAGTAGCATTATCGAAATTGATCAAACAAGCTGAATGCGGCTCCGAATGGTTGGCCGTTGTGAGGTCAGTAGCATATTCACAGTAAGTTGTATATACAATGAGGTTTGACGCATTCTGAATACGCACTAACTGGGTGTCATACCTTTTTCTCAATATATGGCAAGGGTTATAGCAGCATAATCCCATGCTCTTCTCATATAACTACCTTAGGTAGGGAGACCAGTTTAAACAAATTCCTGTATCATGGCACTCTCACTTACCTTACCTGGGTCTACCGTCATGTCTCCTTCCAGTGAGAATCGACCGGCCGCCTTTCCTGCGAGCTTACATGCCTCCGCAGCACATCAAAAGCTGTAAGGTAGGTACTAAGGTAGGTATGGATCTAAAGGACATACCATATCTGAGCTTAGAGGCGTACCTGCCAGAAAAGCAATGATATAGGTAGGTAGGTAGTAACGACTGGCTGTCCCCAAAGCAGTGATCTCCTGTCTTCTTCCATACGCGACCCAACAGCTCATCATCAACAGTCACAACAACACATCACTCACCATCTTGAGCTATCCCAGGTCAAAAGCAACATCTCGCAGCTTCTACAGACGTTTTCCAATCATCACTCACATTATTCCCATCAATAACTGTCATCATGAGCGATCAACCTCAAGTCCACGATCTTATGATCGTTTTCGACGCCGTAACAGGCGGGAGTGAAGGTGTCGGGGAGTTGAAAACGGCCATTCAAGATATCGTCAACTTTGTGGCTCTTGCTGACTGCTTTGAGAGAATTGGAGTTCTAGCCTATCGCAATTATGCCTGTACTGCTGAGAAAGTGATAGAATGGTCAGGATGGTGCTATACTTCTTGTGACCCGAGCCCTCCGAGTACAGACGACATACTCAAATTCGTTCAAGACTTGGAGATGCCTGATGACTCCGATGACAACTCATATGGTGCTTCTTCAAAAACGGCCCTTGCAAAGGCCTGTCAGGAGATGAGAACGAACGGCACTATCATCCTTCTTTATAACCATGCTCCTCCCCTGCTCGATCATATCGGTGGACATCATTACGACTCGGAGCAGATGTCGCTCTCCTTCGGCGGGTATGGTGAAGCAGGCCGCATTTTCCAGAATTGGTTTAATGGTACCAATTGTTTCTCGGGACTTGGCCAGGATCCCAAGAAAGCTGTGGTACTTTCTTTCGGCCTTGGATCCGTTGACAACCTCAGTGACGGCATCAGTGAATGGAGCCCATATCTATGGCTATCCACCACGACAGGGGGTAATCTCTATCGTACGACATACAGCAGTAAAGTCATCTCTCGACTCACTATAGGTCTGCTCCTCATTTGGATGGGGGCTGATGGAAATATCGGCATACCGGAGTCCTTCAGAATAACCTACACACTAGCTCCAATCGACTTCTTTCCAGCCGAAGAATCCAATCTGGAGCTGTTCTGCGGCATAGCCTGTAACAACCTCGAGTGTTTCAATACTCTTAATATACCACGCATCGGCTTCCGTGTCCCATATGGCGGTATCAGCAACAATGACGAGGGAGTCAGCAATTTTACAAGCAGAGCGTTGGCCACGAAGTACACTAGTCGCAGCCAACACTACAGAAACGTTATCGCAAAGCATATTGATCGAATTATCAGGACCAATGTATCGCTCATCGCTATCCATCCCCTTTTCGGGCGACTTTTTGCTGCTGTCTGTTTGGACCGAAATGGTAACAACGGATCCCTCTTGGAAAAGACCAGAGCCCAGGTCGATCAGATTCCCGATGCCGGAGACAAGAGGCAAACACGGGCTTGGTTGGAGGAGTCGTATGCCTTCTTCCATGAGATTGAATCGTAGATCCAAATGGAGGGGTTCGAAAACCTTGATTCAGACATGCCTACCAATTGATCCATCCAGTGTATAAACTCTAACCTCTATCCCAGGTATACCCAGATTAGAATAGCAATTGAGGACAATATGTCAGACTATCCGTTCCTTGGAGTGAACTCACGAATAACGCAGCATATCCCGTTTTATCTCCAGTTTTATTGTCGTCTCGTGGTGAGCTTTCAGATGCCTCTTTTACTCTGAAACTTTGAAAGAGATGTTCGTGTTGATGCGAGCCGGGACGGGATGACTTTAGCGCCCGCTCCCCGCAATCAACCAACCATTCAGGGCGAAACCCGCCAAAGTTTAAGGCTATCAGCCGCAAAGTCATGACGGGCCGCAACCTAACTCAATCTAAGGCTCATGACCTGGTGAGGTAAAATTCCAGCCAGAGCTTCCCTTCCCTTCTCGAGGTTTCACCTTAAACCCCGAGAAATATGCATAAATTCGTGGTGATATTCCATGTTAAACCCGCGACCTAGACCCTTTTATTCGAAGAATACTTGGTCTCCTCCTGAGTTGAGGCCTGCAACGACCCTCGATGCGGCCACAGCCCCCAAGTGTTTCCACAGCGTCCACTCAATAAGCACTTGACCCAATTGAACCCTGGACTCTACAGCCCTGGGTGTCATCCCCTGTCCTTGTTAAGAAAGATGCGCGACTGCGAAGTTCAAACCAGGCTCTGCGCCTGTGGGTTTGTCCAGTTTGTTCCCCTTTCACCACTTCTTCTGCCTTTTTCCACTTTGTAACGATGGCGACGCCTTGAACGACCAACTACGCCGGAATTGGTTTACGCCAGTGCGAGACGATTGCTTCATGTCGCGTTGACCTCTGTCAAACTTAGCCTCCGAGCCCGCAACGAGTAGGGACTGTGTGCCCATAATTGATTGCTGGAGTATCCGGCACCCAGCGAGTCCGACTAGCAATTCTCATACAAGGAACCAATCATCCTAAATCGAGACGAACGAACCGGCCGAGAGAATATCGCAACCTCAACACCATGACTAACGCGGACCCCGAAGTCGTGGTGGCCATTGTGGCTCTCCTCGTGTCTTTGGTTGCTCTGGCAGCTACCTTCATGCAGGTCATGCAACAATACTACGCCTCTGCGGCAGGATACGCTCAATGTAATGAGAAAGTCATGGGAAAATGGGCCCTCACAAAAACTCGTCGCTTCTCCTGGGACGAGCTCCGTTTCGAGGTCGAGTTTGAGGCCCCTGTGATCTTCGTCTCGCCCCCAGACAACCAAAATGGCCCAATTCGCGGAGCAGAGATATACTTTCTGGACGGAAGTCCAGAGAGCCTCGAAAATACGTGGTCTGAGTTGGACATCAACCCCAGAGAGGAATATGCCAACAAGACGAAACGAGAGCGTATCCATACTGCTGATAACGAGCGAGCTTCATGGACATTGCTTCTCAGCGCCGTGCAGCGTATGGAGCACGAATCGGAGAAGTGGCAGAAGAGTCAGTACGAGGGCATGCATAAACAAGTTGGGCCTCCCAATGCGCAATCACAGCATTACGATCTTCCTACCAACCCTCCCAGTCTATACGATGCACATACTATGACAGTAGCTCTTCAACGGAAACGTAAGAGCTGGGATACAATGCCTGCCACTGTTCTACGCCCATACGCGACGACGACGATGTGCCATCTTATCGAGATGTTGGCGGCTCTGGGTATTTACTGGAAAGAGTTCGACCGCAAGCGTGAACGTTACCGTGCTGAAGGCAATGGTTTCATGGTTATTGGCGAAAAGGTCACTGATCTCGGATTGATGTTCACATTCAGTATTTACGGGAGGAGTCGCTTCGAAGCCAATCGAGTGATTCCCGTCGACCAGGTCAAGGAGCTTTGTTTTGGCTATGTGTCGACTATTTACAGCGTGCTTTTGGATCAGCGACGCCTACGGTTTCCTGAAGATGATCCAGAGAATTTGGCTTTCCTCCAGCTGGCGACTCGCGAGGAGATTTCTCAGACTCTTATCCGAATTGGATGTAACAACAATGCTGTCCGTGCTTTCCAAGATGCTGGGAAGCATACATCACATCTGTTTCCTGGTAGGTTTTCTTGTCTTAATGGAAACGCATATACTAATGGGTTTAGTTTCTTTCGAAATCCTCGGTATGCTGAGTCGTACTTTTCACATCAAGAACAGCATGTTCACCCATATTCCCAACCCAACATCAGATCGTTGGGATAAGCAGTCGGTATCATTAGTCAAAGTGATGGAAGCTTATGAGGATCTTGTTCCTACTTCACTGTCCGGAGCCCGTCGAAACCCCGTCATTATCGACAAGATTAAGAAGCACGTCGATCAAATTCTAGCCTTCAACAAGGACGAAAGCGTAACCGAGAAGATGTGTACGCTCAAGGCACTCCACGAAGCCATCGACGATTGCGATCAGATCTTGACAGCCAAGGAACCCAGTGGCACTGTTACCCCTTTTGCAGAACAGTTAGGCATCAAAATTCACGAGTCCGAGGTACAGAAGAAACGACGAGAAATGGTCCAAGATGTTTTGCGATCGCACATCCAAGAAGTTCTACGTCTACTCAATGACGGGGAAGACCGTTCATCCGATACGCAATCTCTACACGCTGAATGGAGCCCAGCTACACCACACGCGCGACAGGACGGACAGCAGCCTAGAGTTGCGCCCATTGGATTCGAGGACATGCACGAAGCCAGTCCTGACGAGCGACAGCACAAGTTTTTGGAAGTTTACTTTCACGTTATTCGTGAGAAGGTCATCCCTCGTGCTGCCCGTTCAACAGATCGCCGAACGAGCCTTGTTGGAGCCCCTGCAGGGTATGGTTTCCGTCGCGCAGGCACAGGTCGTACCCAAGCATCCAGCATGCGTGGCATTGAACGAGCGTCCTCGCCGCCTCCCCCCATGCCAGCCCCCCGTCTGCAAACCAGCGTGGAGAACATTCCTCTTGGTCCCATGGCCAACGGCCGTCCCTCCATGTCTAGCAGACCTAGCAGTGCTGTGAGTGAAGCGTATTCGTTAGCGAGCGAGCAACCCAGACCCAGACTAGAGGCTGCTTTGTATGAGCAGGAGGTCTCGCATGATGATGTTTGGTGTACGCTGATTTTCCGCATGATATGCTGGTTAATGTTACACGACTTTAACAAGTTGGATGTACAGTTGAGTAAAAGCGAGCTATTGGGAAGCCGTATGCCAGTTTACATATCATGATACGTTGGATAAGGGTCGATATTCGGAAATGATTGGATGTTAGCGAGGGGTCTGGATTGATATCATGATAACGGCGTATCATGCGATATTGGGAATACCACAAAAAGCGAATGTCGGCGATATTTGGTTAGCACATCAATTTACAATGGATCACAATACAATCACCACAGAGCGAATGACCCCTGAGTCAACTAAAAACTCACCGTCTGTTTCAATACATGATCCAACATTCCTCAACCGCATCATGATGACCCAGCTCTCGAATCGGCGAAACGCCCAACAATGCCCCGATCCGACCACCCCCGCATCCAGTGTCGGTACTCGTCCGGTACAGGAAATCCGGATAAGCCGAGGGGATGCCTTGATTGGTAGAATGACTAAGTCGGAATCGGAGAGCACGTGAGGTTGGATCGGAGGTGAGATTTTTACAGTAAGCCGTGTGGCGAGGACTCGGCGGTGACCGTGGCCTCGGGGAGCAAGAAAACGCCGGACCTTGATATGGGGTGTCAAAATAAACTCAGCAAAGGGTCTCCTAAGTTAGGCTAAATTTACCTAAATATTTTTATTGCTTAGGCTCAAGGTCTTGTGTTTTCTTTCCTCCCCTATCGTGGATAAGAGATTGGATGGCCGGGAATGGAGTCGGCGAATGGTGGATTATGGTTTATCATGGAAACTCAGTGAGGAGAAGGTTTGTTGTGAATAGATTCAAGAAGGGATGGGATATATACAAGGGGCATCAGTCAATAATAAGTCACAGAAACTCGGTCAGCTGAAAAATATGATCGAGTAATTATTCAGAGTAGAGAAAAGGAGTCGCTACTACTGCACATTATCTCCTATTTTATTGGACTGCTCCCTTGGATCCATCTTGATCCCATTCGGGCTATCCCTTGACGGAGATAAGCATAACAATAGAAGCTGGAGTAGAACCCAATACAAGCCCAATTCATTGTTTCGTGTAATCGATCTATTCCCATAGGCGCCTCAATGTTCCAGTCTCATTGTCAAACCCTCCGGGTTCCAACACAGACGTGGAGATGTCACGTGAGGTTGCAACAGGCAACCTGGGCTGAATACCATCACGGGCCTTGATTTCCAGCACGGAGGATTCAGTGGGAACTTGCTAGCCTAGAGCTCGATTTGGACCGTCGTAATCCTGTTGGGAATCGACCAAGGCGTCAATCAAATTAAGTTTCCGGGCTGACTAACTCTCGAAACCTGTCCTGGGTCTCCGTTGTCTTGAATTCATTCCAGCATCCGTCGCGTCGCCGGAGCCGTGGTTCGGCCGTAACCGTACTTGTCGTAGAGCCAGGTTCGTTCCGTTGTTTGACCAAGGCAGCGCAGGCTTCGAATAGCGCCTCGCTAGACCGGGTATGTTGGGTTAGGCATGGGCATAATCACCAACAGACGGTCCTTTCCTAATTCCCTATCCTAGGTATGTCGAACTCCGTCTGCTGCTGTGATGAGGTTGCAACGACGTGCATAAAAGTACCCTTTCTCACGATCACCTCCAAAGTCGTATTGGACTCGTGCGGAGAGGTACTTTAACTCGTCCAGTGTCATGTTCCCCTTCCCCAAGGACGACCACATTTTCACCCAATCACGGCCGCTGTGACACTGGCTAGACCCTGTCCAAGTCTTAGGAAAGCACGCAGGGCCAACCAGTCTACAGCTACGCTATACCCCAATGGGACTAGCTGTGAAAATGGAGAGTCCACATCCACCTTGGCCCGAGAACCAGAGACCACCAACAACTCCTCCGTC